AAGTCCAAGAAGGCCTTTTACACGGCCTGCCTGAACAGTTCCCAGCGGAAGAGTTCCCAGCGGAAGCAAGAAACTCCCGAAGACGAACCAAATCGTCCTGATCCTTTTTCGTCCGATGAGGAGTTGACAGTGAGCAATAATAGAACGATGACGCGGCCATGACCTACATCGACCAGTGTGTGCAATCGGAGCAGAAAGAGTTCGATGGCTGGAACCATTGGGCAGGTGCCAAAACCCTGCCAAGGTCGGAGGCCAAGAACATCTTTGGCGACGCAAAAATGAGGCGAAACATCCTCAAAAGTCGCATCGCATACCGCGACAAGATTCGTGGTGTGCCTGCGCTGGCTTAAAGAACGATGCGTGCTGATTGGATGCCCTGACCCCGATCTCACGTCATTGGCTCAGGATTTTCTGCGCTGTCAATGATTTAATGGTTTTGGCCTGAAGTGGCATGGCTGGTTGTCAAATGCCGAGAAGGCTTTTCTTGAGGGCAAGCAGGACAGCAATGAGAGGAACAACATGCCATAAAACATGCAGCCTCCTGATGGCCGAATCGCGAAGAAGTCAGGTTGTTTCAGTGCACTTTTGTATTTCGTCACCGGCAACTGTTACGGGTTAGCAAAGGGTCCAGGTGTTTGGTACAAGCATGTTGTGGAAGTTTTGCAACAGAAACTTCATCACGCACGACTACGAGTATTACTGTTTCTACTACTTCTACTACCTGAACCTGCTCTTATTGACTTTTGCCACTACCACCCCAATAGTGGCAGGCTTGACTGTGTGATGATTGTTCACGTCACGTTGACGATTTTTGTGCTAGGTACTGCAGGAGTTTGATTCCACGACTTTGGAGAAGATTGGCGCGACGATAAGCCTGGCGAACCGAGGCCAATTAAGAGACGACATTGGCCGATTGGTTTGAAGAAGTTGGGTGGGGCTGCGAAAGCGAAGGAATCACCATCGCCGGCATCGCCTTGGATCGCTCGACAGTGGTGCTATTCTATGCCGACTCGAGCTGCGCCAATGCAATGGTCTCAGCAGCCAAAGCGGCCTCCTCGTGGCCTTGTGCCCGACCACGGTCTCTGAGTCCACGACTCCAGCGGCTGTAGTGGACGTCGGTCCGCGCTCGCCGCGGAAGCTGTAGCTGCCGACGAGGGGTGTGATCGCGGCAGTCGTGTCTCGACGTTTTGAGTGAATTTGTTCTTTGGCCTAGGCCCACGCCTGCAGTTGAGACAGTGCACTGACTGTCGTTCACTTTATAGTGCAGCCGAGAATCTGTCAGTGTCAGAGCGCAGGTCGCCCATTCAGATCCGCAGCGTTCAGCAGACCGTGAGTCCAGACAATTTTCACTGGACCGCAGCGACCGCCATGCTCGCAGATGCAATGACAAAGACGCTTCTTGAAACTGCGCGACATGCTTCGCGAATGGCTGAAGCAGCCTCGGGCACAGATCTGCAAGGTGGAAACATAGACCAGTGTGAAAGTTCATGACATGCAGACCTAACCACCTTCCGAATTGATGCCTTCATGTTAAAGCTGGCCACTGAGCCAATGTCGTGTTTCGCTGAAAAGGACGTCGGCCATGTTTTGAACAGTGCCATGCATTCGAGAAGTGTTTCGCGCAGGTCATTGTTGTATCCAGCTGTTGCCAGCGCGGGCAATACGTTTTTGAGAACAGACCATGGGGCAAATGCCCCGCCCACTATCACAACTTTGTCAGCAGGCAGAGTTGAGAGCCGGCTCGAAAGCCACCACAAAGCAACCCAGGAAGGTATATTACCTTGTCATGGCGCCTTCCTCCTCTAAATTGGGCCCGCGAACCGATATGACATCGCACGCGCGCTGCATATCAACTTTCTATCGAACACCAGAATCAATTCCACAGTGCAAAATGATTGTCGTGTCCCAAAATGAGCCGAACCATGTGTTGTTCCAAAATGAGCCGAATCGTGTGTTCCAAAAGGAGCCTCCTCCCAAACTCGCCTGTGTGTCTCACGAGATGTCCATGGAAAAAAACCTGTTTTGAGACATCATGACAGTCTTGAATCCGCAGTTGTTTCAACAGTTCAAGAGAAAGATGCGACGCAAACAAATCCCAAAGGAATCCCATCAAAAATTCAACCTTGATAATCTTGATATGTTTTGTCAACCCAACAACGGCATTTTTACGCAACCAGACAGAACAAAACGCCGCGATCGCATCAAAAACGGGGATCGTATAGCTCAGAGAAAAAGACCCCTTCTCCATGCTCCAGATGTTGCTTGAGTACCGTGTAAGTACACAGCCCCAAATCACATGAAGTTGGTAAAGGTCGCGTTTTGACCTTCTTGAAGCATGGGGCTATTCACGACAATCAAAGCAACACATTGTCTCGATATTGAAATAAGCCGGCTCGACCATAAAACATGTCCGTAACAGACAGCACACAAGGAAAGCTGAGTCATGAGTGACATCAAAGTTGAACACACTTTAACTAGTCTCCCAAGATGCCTTGCATGTCGGTGCTTGCTTCTCTCAAGCTCTGCTCGTTGTATTTGTTGGCTTGGCCGACTATTGTGGAAGGATTGTGGTGCCAGGCTTCTAGTGGTAGCTGTGTTGGAGAGCGTCACAATTTTGAGAGCTGGCATCGTGTTCCCTTGGAGGGTTTTGGGTTCAATGGGACTTTGCGCTTTGCAGACTGGGACGGCGACGGTGACATGGATGTGTTGGCAGGTGAACTTGGCGCGATATGGCTCCATGAACGGCTTTCAGACAACCAGTTTCGTGGACACGAACTCTTGAAATTTCCAAAACTTCCAGCCCAAAATGGCCATTCACATTCTCGTTTTGACGTTGCAGACTGGGATGGTGACTTGGTGGCCAGAAGATAGATTTTGGCGATGGTCCTTTTTACCAGGTCCGCTATATGTTTTTTTCTCAGAAGTTGATCACGGAATTCCCACTTGAATTTGTTGGTTGCCATTTCTCCTTGGACGCTGAACGCAAAACAACGCTCACACTCTCAGGTTTTTTTCGGTCGTTTTCTCCGCTTACCCTAGGTGATAAGAAACTGGATGTACTGCTTTGCACAGTGGTGGATAACACTACAAAGGTGACTTTCTTCAATAGATCCCTCGCACGGGGTCTGCCGTGGGAGGATAGCAGCGATCACCACCTGATTCTGTCAACAAACGGCTCCAGGTGCAACATACAGGCATTGGATTTCGATGAAGATGGAGACGTTGATCTCATACTTGATCAAGATGAAGGAGACCCACATCGAAGCAACTGGTATGATGTGTGGGACACAATATACCAACCAAGATTCGGAAGATACTTTGAGCGTATCTCGTTCGAAGAAGTTGTGGAACGTACAGGCGAGGAGAATCCACTTGGTATCTTTGATGGCAAGGTACAATGGGTCGGTGACATGGATGGCGATGGGCGCCTAGAGCTCATTGTTGCAGGGCGGGGGAGAGGTTCTCATGGAGGCACAAGCACTCCTCTTCGATTCTTTCGACGTGCTGCGGATGATAGCTTCGTGGAAGAGGAGGAGAATCCTTTTGCCAAACATGCTATGACGACAGCTTATGTAGATATACATTGGTGCGTGCATTTGGCTGACTGGAATTCAGATGGGCTGGTCGACTTGCTGGTCTCATACGCGTACCTTGACGATGAAGGAGCCTACAGCGAACCACTCTTGTGGAGAATCAACTACTTTCAACATGTTCTGGACCGAGGTCTGACACGGAATTCCCACATGGACGGTTCCTGTCAGCTTGCTGATGGTTGATTATAGTCATGTGGACAGCGGTGTTTGTAACACGGCGTCTCTTCAAAAAAAAAATGTTCGCGCGGCGCGCGCGCCGCGCGCGCGCGCGCGTAGAGGGGTACACATTTGAGGTTTTTTACGCGTTTGTCACAGGTTCATCCTTCATGACTATAATAGCTACTAAAGGGCATAGTACAAATAAGAGTAAAAAAAAAAAGATGTATAAACGTGTCAAACCGAAACAAAGCCAAATGGAAATCGTGAAACCAAAGTACAGGATCACATCGTTGTCGATGCGCCGATGCATGGTTCAAACAGTGGTGGGTGGGTGGGTAGCTCACGAACTTTTGCGTAGAAGCTTGCATGGTTGCTCGTTTCCGTGCTGCTTCCGCGCTTAGCAAGGGGCGCCAGGCGATTTTGACAGCTGCTCGCCCTGTGCCTTTTGCGGTCTGGCATTGGGCTCTTTTTGGTGGAGTGAGTTTTCTTTTGGGTGGCATTTTTGTCCTCGCCTGGTTGCTCTACGATCTGTAGCCAGTGGATGGATCCCTTTCCCAATCACCCCGTGCAACAGTGGTCCAATCAACAACTGGTGTCGGCTCTTTTCACATTATTGACTGAGTTGCATCATCGGTTGCTGCCTGGATATCCGGGTGATTTGGAACCGCCGCCGCCGGTGGCACAGCCCGTGACGCCGCCTCTGCGGGTGCCTTTCCGGTGCGACTTTCAGTGCGCCATTCACGGGTGCCCGAATCCTTGCACCCGCGGAGACGAAGGTCATCGCCATCACAAATGTCGACGTCATCGTCATCTGTGATTCCGGGGCTGAAGCAGACAGGGGGGTCCACAGACATAGACAGATCTGATTTCGTGAGCTCTTCAGTTTATGATCAAAACCTCAGACATATTTGGACTCAACACTTCAAATCATCTTTCAGAATGCCATGGGAACGAACCTTGAACACACCATGGGAAGTGTGCAAAAGGCTCAGAACCAATGACATGGAAGTCAGCGGGGCCATCCCTCCGTTGCCTGTGGCTACACCCAGAAACACTGAGGATGCCAGTCACATTGAGGTACTGAATTTCAAACAGGTTGGCATTAGGGCGGTGAAAGGGTCGGACGACCGTCTTTTGAGTGAGAAGCTATCCTGGGAGAGAAAATGTGCATACAAGAAATGGCTTGGCATCATTTTGACTCAGGTGGGATGTTTTGAAGTGGGCAGACTGCAAGCAGCGTGCAAATCGATGGAGTTCGCCAAGGGCGGGCTCATTGAAAGCATCAAAGATGCACTTGGCCCCAAGGCCACCTCCACGATTCATGCAAGGGCCAGCCCAGTGCTGCAGTATATTCAGTTTTGCAAAGACAGAGGCATTGAACCTTTTCCGCTGGTTGAACACACATGTTATGACTATGTGAAGTCGTGTGAAGGCAGGGCGGCAACTTACACTAGATCGTTTCTGTTGTCGTTGAGCTTCGCGAACTATCACTTCGGCGTACAAGGTGCAGATGTGGTCTTAGGTTCATCGCGGATCCGTGGACTGGTGAACACGTTGTTTGCTCAGAAACGCAAATTGGTCCAAAGACCGCCTTTGACAGTGAAACAGATTATGAAACTTGAGGAGACGGCGCTGGACAATCGGAGATCCAAACAGGAGCGCTTGGCTAGCGGATTCTTTCTGTTTCTCCTGATGGGCAGGCTGCGCTTCAGCGATGGTCAACAGATTTGCCAACTGACTCTGGACCAGCAAGACGATGGTTTTGGGTTCGTCGAAGCCTTGGCCGCCAAAACAAAGACATCGGTGAGCTTGGATCGGAAGACTAGGCACTTGCCAGTAGCAGTTCCGTTGTTGACTTTCGGTGACACGCAATGGTTGCCTACTTGGCTTGATCTCAGACAGAAGGAACTGGGAGCACAGGCCAACAGCATAGACGAGTTCATCCCGCTGCTTCCCTCGCCGACGATGAAGGGATGGTCCAAGATGCCGCTGGGAGTGACTTCTGGAGCGAACTGGCTGAGGAGCCTACTTCAAGGTGTTGAGCCCGAGAAGGGAACTCCGGTTGGGACGCATTCACTGAAAGCCACGCTGCTGTCAATGAGTGCGAAGTACGGCATGAACCACGGGGTTAGAAAACTCCTTGGATACCACGCCGGATCCAAAAATCAGAGCATGCTCTGCTACAGCCGGGACGCTATGGCGGAGCCCTTGAGACAGATGTGCCAGATGATACAAGAGGTCAAAGCTGGGAGGTTCCTTCCCGATTGTTCCCGATCTGGACGTTTTCCTGCTGTGGCCGAGTCCGAGATTCCGAAAGAGCAAGACGAGCTGAGCGAATCTTCATCATCTGGTTCCGAAAATGAAGAGGAAGTTGATCATGTCCAGGAGGAAGCTGCATGCGCCTCAGTGGTGGGAACTTGGCGTCCCTCCAAAGACGAACGGCTGGAGACGGCAATTTTCGTGCGGCACAAGGTGTCGCGCTGCATTCATGCCTTTGCCGACGAGTCTGGAATAGAGTTCACGCGCGGTCGCAAAATGGCCAACGCGTATGAGGTGCTGAGCGAGAGACCCGGTTTCTTCCATCCGGCCTGCTCCTCGTGCTTCAGAGACGCAGCATGATGTGGAACTCATGGCTTAGACATATGATTCCCGAAATGGTGAAAAGATTGTGCAGCTTGTGCGTTTCAATGCAGTGCAAATTTTTCAAGCTTGCCACAATGCATGTCGTGTCAATGACGAAAGGTGAAGTCCTTAGGGACAAATGTGATGTGTCAGAAATCTGAAACGTTCAGATCATGTGAAGGAGTCTTCAAGTTGAAGATCCATGTTTTTCCACCGCGCTGTTCAAGTTGAACAATGCAAGCAACGATGAAGACACGCGCATGTACATCACAAGTTGCTCAACTAGATGTAATGCAACTTTAGTGAAAACAACACGACTGCACATTCATGTCACAGACGCAACAGTCATTCCTCTTTCTCAGGAACTTTCGTCGCCATGAGCTACGGAGACAGCAAGGCTGTTTTCGCGCAGAGATGCAAGGAGATTGGCCTAGATGATGCGGTGACCTCAAAGATCATATCACATGGGTTAGACGCGATGTCAAAATTTGCCTTTGCTTCCAACTTCCAACCTGGAGCCACAGATGAAACCCCATTGGTGAACTTGACCAAAGACTTCCTTGGCAAGTCACCTACTACAGTTGAGATGTCATGCATTCGCAGACTTTTCAGTGAGAGCTACGCCAATGTGGCGTCTGACATCAAAAGCAGGGTTGAAGCCAGTGACGACACTCCTGCTCGCAGGTTGGCTCCAGCAGAACGTGCAGAACGGTTGAAACAACAGCAACGTCGACTGATTGGAGTGAACATCTCAGGACCATATGAACCAGGTGATGCATTGGTGGATCGTTGCATTAGCATTTATGAGAGCGACAGAATTCAGTACATATCATGGGATGTTTGCACCAGTCGCGAACATGAGATACTGCATGGTTCCAAGAAAGACCAATCCTTAACCTTTGACACAAGTGGTGCCTTGAAGTTGCAACGTCAGACGAAGGTGGAACCGTGCAGCACCGCCTCAGAGATTCAAGTCAGGTATTGTCTGACCAGGCGGGCACTGGCCCTTGAGCAGGCAAATGTTGTCGGGTTCGCCAAGATGGAGGCTTGGAGTGAGAAGATGATGCAAACTCGTTTGGAGGATCCTCCACCAAACCATGTTCGAACCACTATGAAACAGTTGGAAATGGCAGATCACAAGTTGTTCGTGCTCATCAGTGAACGTACTCGTGAAGGCATCAAACCATCACCGGCAGGCAGACCTGTTGATGCAGTGATCAAAGATTGCATGGAAAGCTCTGAAGTTTTGACACTCCTGCAACCGCGCCCAGGTTCCTCTTCATCCAGGCCAGCCGAGACACCATCGTCAGGAGAACCACCGTCCAAGCGATTCAAGGGCAGTGGCAAAGGCAACAAGGGCAAGGGCAGTGGTAAGTTGGGCAAAGATTCTTTCATCCGAATCCCGCATGAGTTGTTGGCCCTAAATGCAGTTCCTGCCACACCTAAAGGTCATCGTTTGTGCTTCTCCTACAACTTGAAGACATGTAGCAATACCGTGGATAAGCAACGGTGTCCTAAAGGCCTTCATGCGTGTGCAGTGAAAGGTTGTCACAAGCAACATCCGGCTCTGGATTGTCCCGGGGCCGGAAAGGAGTGACTCCATGATGCAGCAGAGGTCTCGAATTCGTGCAATTTTCCACAATCACCTGGCCCTGACTCAACTCAGGTCCCAGATGAGGCCATGTCCGTCGGCAACAGTTGTGATAAGTCCGATGTTCTCCGTGACCTTTTTCCAGATGTCAATTCAGGAACATTGAAAGATACACCGGTTTTCCTTGAACTTTGTGCAGGCAGCGCCAAGTTGTCAGACGCTGTCCGTAAACACGGATATTGTGTCGTGCCCGTAGACCATGATCACAATAAGCATCACCCACGTTGCACTATAGTCCAACTTGACCTTTCTCAACAAGCCGCCTGGGACCAATTGAATTTCTTGGTGGAAAATGTTCCAATCGCTGGAGTTCACTTTGCTCCCCCATGCGGCACATGTTCAAAAGCTCGTGGTATCCCCCTTCCAGATGGAAGCGCTGGACCACAACCATTGAAGTCACAAGAATTTTTGCTTGGGATACCAAACCTGAACTATCGAGACCAGCAGCGTGTGGTGAGCGCAAATGAAATTTACCGTTTGTGCGGCGCCTTCATTCAGAAGCTGGAGGCATTGGGCATCCCATGGACAGTTGAGAACCCAACAAACTCCTGGATGTGGGACCTGCCCTTTTTCCTTTTTGCCATTACAAGTGGGATTTGGGTTCATTTACATGCTTGTGCATATGGTGGTCAACGCAAGAAATTGACCACGTTTTTGGTGAGTCATTCTGTTTTCCGTGATTTGGAACGGTACTGCGATGACTCACACCCACACGCGCCGTGGGGATACAATGCTGACCTGGGTGCATTTAACACAGCTTTGGAAGCCGAATATCCAACAGAGTTGTGCACTGCATATGCCAAAGTTTTGCATTCTTTGTCCCTCACTCGAGGCTTGACTATTCCTGACTCTGCCGAGGTGACTGCATCCAAGTTGACTCCCCAACGACAACCTCGCGGACGAGGCATGCGACAATTGATTTCTGAATATTTGGCAACACCATCCGTGCTTTTGCGCAACATCCCCAAGACCGACGACAAGGGGTGCATCGCCCGCGCACTTCCGAACATTCCAGTCGGAAGCCGTTTGTTGAGAACTGAAGAAAGAGGGGGGTCCTTTCTCTGTGTTTTTGGAATCTATCGATCACCTGAGGAATTCACAAACGTGGCCAAACAGTTGTGGCATCCCTTCGACGAACTGAGAAATTTGCCCGATGAACTCGCCCGCACTATATACAGCCAGCTGACCTCATCACCTTCACAGGTCACCAGAAAGCGAATCACAATGCTGAACGAGTGGACGACCAGAGCCAAGGCACTGCGAGAGTTGGAGACTGAACTTCACAACCTTATGGAGCCTGACATTGGTCGAATCATGAAACCAAAAAGGATTCTGCTCATGCGATCGATCGCAGAAGAGATTGGGTGGCCTGACATGACATTGTTTGACGAATTCACAACTGGCTTCAAAATCACTGGACAGACCACAGTGGCCGGTATTTTCAAACAAGGCATCACCATGGCAACATTGACGACGTCACAGCTTGAACAGAAATCGAAGTTCCTGAGACCCATGATTCTGGGGCGATCGAAACTGACGTGTGAAAATGACATCCAGAAGGAGTTGTACGAGATCACGTTGGATGAAGCTGTGAACAAAGGCTGGCTCGAAGGCCCGTACCAACCTGAAGAGATTTCGCAGATGCTTGGAAAGGACTGGATTCCGGTTCGACGATTTGGAGTTGTTCAGAAGAAGATCCGTCCCATTGATGATTTTAAGGAGAACAATGTGAACCTCACCCATGCAAGCGTGGAAAAGATAGAACTGAGAACCATGGACCATGTTTTGTGGTCTGTCTTCACGCTGGTGAAGTTCTTGATGTTTGAGGGGCGAATGGAGCTGCGCCTGAAGAGCCGAGACACCCTGGCGGGAGAAGTTCACACTGAATGGAAGGCGGTGGAACCTGTATTCAAAACATCGTGCGTCGATCTAAAATCTGCGTACAAGCAACTTCCGCTACACCGCGATGAACGCAAACACGCAGTAGTGACTTTGTGCAATCCTGGAAACGGTTCAAACGAATGCTTCGTGATGAAAGTTCTGCCATTCGGTGCGGCGGCCAGTGTGCACCATTTTCTCCGAACCAGTGCTTTCATACAAGCGGTGGGGAGACACTTGGGGTTGTTGTGGTCGGCATTCTTCGATGACTTTGTGTTAGTGAGCCACTCCATGCACGAGCAAAGTTCAATGACCTCTTCATTGGCCCTGCTTGAATTGTTGGGGTTCGCCTACAGTGAAGACAAACTGCAACCGTTCCAGGAGGTCACCGAAATGCTTGGAGTGGAATTGGACTTGAGAGAGACCGGACAAGGTCGCGTGAAAGTTCGAAACAAGTTGAGCAGAACCAAAGAGATGAACGACATCCTCACTGACATACTTGAATCCGGAAAGGTGAAAGTGGCACAACTACCCTCGGCGCTCGGAAAACTGCAATTCGCTGAAGCCCAGTTGTGGGGCAGATCTGGACGATTGGCGCTGGCTGACTTGAGAGAGCTCGAGAAATCTGACCAGAAGTTGGCCCGCCTTGACGAGCGCGCCTTAAGCGCTGTGACGAGATTGCAGAAGAAACTCTCGAACGGGAAGCCTCGAACCTTGTTCATATCCAAGCGGTCGCCCCCTTTTCTTCTTTTCACCGACGGAGCTTTGGAATACGATTCACAAGGAAACGGAATTGCGGGAATTGGTGCAATCCTTATTTGTCCCGATTCGTCGGTATTTGTCTTCGGGTCGCAAGTCACCGACAATGTTTTGAAATCCTGGCAGGTGAATGAGAAGGAACATGTGGTAGGCTTGGTCGAACTTTATGCTGTGGCGGTCGCATTCCAAACCTGGGAAGATAAACTGAAAGATCAACGTGTGATTTGCTTTACAGACAGCTGGCCAGTGTTTGATGTTGTGGTGAAGGGAAACTCCACCAAACCTGAGTGGAGAGATTTGCTTTTGATTATAGAAGACCTTGATGAACGCTCGCCCATGCTACTTTGGATGGCCAGGGTTCCTTCGAAATCAAACCCGGCAGACGCTCCCAGCCGTTTTGCAGTTCATGACATAGATTTCCTCAGGCCCTTCGAAGTATGCAAGCCAGTGTGCCCCATCACTGGAAAAAGGCTCGCCTCAAAGATATAGTGAACTGAAGCGGAAAGGGGGTAACCAAATGTTTTGGAACAACACATCCGAATCCTGGGGTGTCCAGGAAATGTAAATGTGAAATGTCAATGCGAAATGTGAAGGATGTGGAATGAAATGTCTAACATGCGAAAAGGACACAAAACTGTGTCTTCGTGACTTCCCCTTTTTGCTTCGAAGGAAAAATGGTGCGAGTGATTCCACTTCAAACAAACGCAAAAACGCAGTGCATGTCAAAGCTGTCGTGCCATGTCTTGGCGGTGAGTGTTGTGTAACAAGTATCATTAATAATACATTAAATATATGAAGAGAGAGGATCTAAAGAACCTCTTTTAACCTAACCCCCCCTTTTGAAGAGATCCTTCATGACTATAAACCTATGAAGACATCGATTTCCCCGTGCCGGACACAAATAATGAAATTGTTGTTGCAGACTGGAATGGTGATGGCTCTGAAGATGTGGTGCTTTTCAGAAGAGCCAGCTTGCATTTGTATGAGTTTCAAGGGCATAGCGTCAAGGAAGTGCCAGGTGTTTTTGGAAATACAACAGAGGCCTTGCTAGCCTTGCTCGATGAGCATTTTTTGAGTCCCAAAAGTGAAGATGGGCGTGAACGGGGGTGAGGAGGAGAGGAGGGAGGGGTACGATGTGGGGCGAATGCCCGTCGGTGGACGGAAGATGGGCGCGCAATTCTCACGAACCTGAAGATGGGCGCGCAAGTACTATGCACGGTCGTGGTGAGCTGGGGAGCTGCAGGGGCAGTGGAGGTGACAGGACTGGATGAATTTGGACGTGGGGGATTCCAATGGCCATCTGGCCAACAAAGGACACCGCACGCGGATCGGCGACCGTTTGTGAGGGCCTGGCCTGGCAGCTCAGAGCTGATCAGGCGAGGCTTGCGGTGACGCAGCCCAGGTGCTGACATCACTGCTTCTTACGAACGGTCGCTGGTCTGTGGGCGTGGTCCGGTGTTGGCACGGTGGCAGTTGGAAGCCCTCAAGTCCACCGCGGACGAGCGACGAAAAGCGAACGTCCGTCCGTGGATGGACGAGAGGAGACGGAAGAGGGGCGGGGACGGGGCGGGGGTGCTGCAGGGGCAATGGTTTTGATATGATAGGCGGAATTTGGAGTTGAGGGATTGCAATGGCCATCTTGCCAACAAAGGACAACGCGCGCGGACCGGCGACCGTGTGTGAGGGCTTTGCCAAGTAGATCACCGCCGTGCGTGCGGGAAGAAGTTTCGTGTCAAGGACGGTCACGTTGCCGCCAAGAACTTAGTCTATGCGTGTCCATTTTGCAATGGAACTGTGGCGAGTAACGTGAGGACAGGGCAGATAGATCACCGAACCCTAGACCTGCTATTGCCGACTGGGATGGAGACGGGGACTTGGACTTGATCATCTCGTCTCAAGACAAGTTGCATTACTTTGAGATGGTTTCAGGTTTCTTGCACAAAAAGCCCCAGATCATCCATTTCGAGCAATCACAGTACAACACTATCCATATGCCTTTGCAACTCAGCCAGCCCTGGTGGACTGGGATAATGATGGTGATGTGGATTTGATTCTTGGCCCACCGGATGGCCGCTATTTTGAACACTTAGCAGATGGAAGTCTGTTCGAATGGCCGTTGGAGCAAAGCCCTGTCAAAAGGGTTATAGATTTGCCGGAAAGACCGTACCCAACATATTCAGATAGCATGTGGCGATTTGTGGACTGCGATGAGGATGGGGATTTTGACCTGATCCGAGTGCGGCAGCATGTGGGCTCTAGAGGTTCATGGTGGCAAGCTTGTGAGCATGACAGCATGCATAGATTGCTTTGTCGCGATGATTTCCGCTGCTTGGGAACAAACCTCAGTCACGAAAAGAATTCAATGTCATGGGACCTTGGAAGCACATCAGATGGCCGCCTCAAAATATTTGCACTTGGGGGAGACTATTACTCACAACACGTAGAGCTTTGGAGCGCAGGCTTTTGTGTGCCGGCGGACCCTTGCCACAAAAAAGGCACTTGCTTGCGCAGGCAACAGCATTGCAGCTGCATAGCAGGTCATGAGCTAAGCGATTGTTCTGGCTGCGAGCCACATTTCCATAGTGTCCCTCCAGAGTTCTTTGGTGCATCCCAAGAAAGTCGGGAGACTATGCCTATGCATAGCTGCAAAGCATGTCCGGGCGGAGATGGCAAGGTTTGTTATGGTCGAGGCAGCTGTTTCGATGATGTGACAGCAAAGACTTTCCCACAGGAGTCTACTGCTGCTTTAATGATCAAAGGAAATGGCTCATGTGTTTGCAACGAGGCCCACTTCTTCGGAAGTGACGAGGAGGGGCGGAGCACGTGCGTTGATGGCAACTGCCCAGCTGGTACCGAAGAAGATGATGGCAATTGTGTTCCTTGTGCTGCCGGGTCCTTCTCGCTTGCAGGGGGTGTTTGCCAGGCCTGTCTTCCAGGAACGTTTTCCCGGATGAGGAGTAGCAACTGCTCAGTTTGCCCTTCAGGGACAGTTTCAAAAGCATCAGGCAGTTCAACCTGTGATGAATGTCCCCCAGGAAGGTATGAAGTTGATCATGCACTTTGCCTTGAGTGCCCTTCTGGAACTGTTTCTGGCCCAGCCAGTCAGACTTGCAGCCAATGTGACGCAGGCCGTGTTTCCAAAGGTTTTGTCGCATGTGAGCCATGCTCTGGTGGAACCTTTGCAACTGCTGGAAGCAGCGGATGTCAGAGATGCCCGGCGGGGACCTTTTCCCTGACAGCAAGTAGTAACTGTACCCTTTGCCCTCGAGGAGCCATTTCGAAAGTTTCAGGTTCCTTGGCGTGTGAGCTTTGTCCTGCGGGAAGGTATGAGGTCAAACGCCAGCTTTGCAGTGAGTGTCCTGGCGGTTATACTTCTTTAACTGGAAATGATTCATGCAGCAAGTGCAAGGCTGGCTTTCAGTCCCCCAAGCCCGGTAGCATCACGTGTGAACCATGTGCTGCTGGCACTTTTGCAGGCGAAGCCAGCTCAAAATGCAGTGCGTGCCCTTTGGGCACCATTTCAGGTGCAGCCAGCGGGAGTTGCAGCCCATGTGACGCGGGCCGTTTTTCCAAAGGCTCCTTGACATGTGAGCCATGTCCAGGAGGAACCTTCGCCACTGCTGGAAGCATCACGTGCCAAGGCTGTCCATTGGGCCATGTGTCCAGCCCAAGCAGTGCCGTTTGCAGAAGCTGTGATAGTTTCCTCATCCGCTCCACTCCTGATGCCGCCAAGCAGACCTGCCAAATTCTGACAATGGACATTGTGTTTGCACTTGTTTGCTCGATCACATCAGCTTGCTTTGTTTTTCTTTGTTGGACTGGCTTCTATGGCCGTATTCCCATCTCAGATGTGTCTCCGCAGGGTCCAAAGATTGTGCTGACGACTTGGACGGCGCATTTTTTGTTGAAAAGAGCATGCCCTGTTGTGACCTTCACTGGCACAGGGGTTCCTGATTTAGAGGCGTCATCCCGAACTTGGCGAGTGAGAACCTTGAGTTTATACCAAGTGACGCTGCACGGCGATCAGAGTGCCATGCCACTGGATACGTCAACAGGGCACGTGCGTGTGAAGTTTCCACATGTCTTCTTCTCAACTGGTTTTTGGCACTGTCCGCTCATTTGGTGGTGCTTGCTACTTATGGCAACGAGCGCAGGTGCAGCAAGCCGGATTCCTTGGTCCCTGGCGATGGTTGTTTGCGCATTGGGTTTTTGTACAGGCTCCTTGTGGTTCGTCCTGCGGAGAAGGTGGGGGCCGAAAAGATCGAAAAGTATCTTTTTCTCAGTGTCCGAGCGTCCAAGTCAACACAAGCCGAATACTACTACTGCCCCAAAAGCAAACAAAAAAGAACACGGAACCCGCTGAACCCTCCCAACCCCTGGCTTCCATAGTTGCGTCCGAAATGTCATTTGACCTCAGTAGAGGTAACACCTTTTAAACAAATGGTGGCCTGGCCAGAGCAATCGGCCCCGGAGGTAGTCTAACAATTTGGCACCTACAGATTTTTGTAGAGAAATAACTTTGCTTTCTACCAGCAACTAGGTCGATCTAGCCTTTCAAACCCTCTCACAGGAAGTAGAACCCATCAAGCAGTCTTAGTACTTTCAAGGCTGCAGGCTGTATGGGGGTGCCACACCACCAAATCAAAACCACCAGGCCCGCCTGGACCACCAAGACCACTTGGACCACCAAGACCAGCAGGACCACCAAGACCGCCTAGACCGCCGGACTCAAGACCATACCAAGACCGCCTAGACCACGGAGACCACCAAGACCGGACCACCAAGACCACCAAGACCACCAAGGCCACCGGGACCCCAAGAGCACCATCAACACCCCACATGATAGATAGTGTATTTGAGACCAGTCAGTACCAAATATATTCCGCCGCACATATGTAAGCTGACCGTATATTTAAATCGTACATTCATTCCGCGTGTTTAAAAACAGGCGGGCGGGCAAAAACCTTGCCGGAGGTAGTCTAAAATACCTGTTCACTTGATTAAAGATCGTATATGTATAAACAACGATGCCGTGAGTAAAAGTAGCTTTGTGTCACGCCGGCTGCGGCGCATGCTTGGTTCATGGTTGGTTCGAGGTCGCAGCCTGCCCATGGACACGCTAGGTTGAGGTGTCCCACAAAATGTTCGGTTCGAGAGGTGGCCCGTGCAGGCAGGTTCACGGTTCTGAAGGTACGTCGCTTTTCGGCCCCGTTATCTCAGATACGTGCCAGTTGGAACTGCGTCCCGAGGAAAACGCACTTCAGGCTGGATTGCGCACTTGACTCCATGATCGCTTCGTTCCGTTGGTTGTTTTTCTGTTGAACCATCAGCCCATTGGCTCCGCCAGAAGTTGTTTACAGCCGCAGCGACATCAGAGTAGAGAATGTTCTGCGCATAGCACTTAGGACGTTTTGAGGCTTGTGAACACAGTAGCCGACAAGGGCAAAGATTTCAGGCAGTCAAACTCTTGTGCCTTGAGGGATGCGGTC